TGGGATTTTGAGCCTGAAAATAGGTCTGTATGGTGATTTATGACTTGTACGCAAAATTTGGCCTCATTCCGAGTTGTCTAAGTATGATTTGACGCGTTCGGAGCTAGTTGAAGAAGTTTGAAGTTCATAAGTTGATTAATTTGGTTTTGGGGTGTGATTCCTAGTTTCGATGTTGTTTTATGTGTTCTGAGGGTTCGAGCATGATCGTATTATATTTATGGACTTGTTGGTGCACTTGGACGGGATCCCGGGTGGCTCGGGTGAGTTTCGGACCACCCGAAGCAAAGACTGAAATTGCTGATATGCTGGTTCTGGTTTCCTTGTTCGCGAACGTGGAGGTGGTATCGCGTTCGCGGAGAAGGACTTAGGGGATGGGAAATTTTTCTCTTCGTGTTCGCGAACAAATGGTTGCATTCGCGAAGGTTGAAGACCTTTGGCCATCGCGTTCACATTCATTGGCCCGCGTTCGTGTAAGGGAAATCAGGTCTGGGGGTTAACTGGTCCATTGCCCTTCGTGTTCGTGAAAATGTGGCCGCATTCCCGTAGCTTGGGTCAGACAAGCCTTCGCGTTTGAGGGGCCTGCTTTTCGTTCGCAAAGTTCATTTTTCTGGGCCTTGGCATTCCTCACGATCGTGGAGAAGGGACCACTAGGCAAAAACAAGATTTAAATCGGGACTTACACTCATTTTCTCTCATTTCACTTTGGGTTAGCCGATTTTGGAGCTCTTGGAGAGGGATTTTCCATCTAGAATTTTAAGGTAAGTGATTTCTACTTAATGTGAGTTTAATACACGAATTATGGGTAAATTTTAAGATGTAAAATTGTGAAAATGATAGGATTTGGTTGAAAAATTTAGGTTTTGGTAAAAATGGGATTATACCACGAAAATAATTATGGAATGGAGTAAAAATTATATATTTGTGGTCGTGAGGTTATGGGTAATATTATTTACAAAAATTTTCGAAATCCGGGCACGTGGGAACGAGGTAAATTTTAGGAACCTTCCAAACTAGGTTGGGTAATTACTCTAATAGTTAATTTATAAACTTTTGAGCATATGTTGATTAATTTGTATAACCTTTGGCTAGTTTTGGATTGTTCGGCACCGATTTGAGACTATTAGTATGATTTGTGGATCGGAAAGAGGACTTGAAAATGAGGTAAGTCTCTTACCTAATCTTGTAAGAGGAAATTATCCCCGTATATATTTTAAATAGTTATTTTCTAATAATTATGGGTACTACAAATGCATGATATGATGAGAGTTCGTATGTAGCTAAAATCATGCTTATGTCCGAGTAGACTTAGGACTTTACCATGCATTACTTATATTATTTGCGCCCAACTTGTTAGTTTAATGATTTGAATTTATAATTGAAATTGGATAAAAGTTTTATGAGACCGAGCCCCATTACCTTGAGTTTTGGCGGAATACTTGATTGTTAGTGGAAACTATGCATTCTTTGAGTATTATTCCTATGTAGTAGTCATTGATCGGAGTTTGTAGAGTTTCTCTATTCCTGAGGATCGGGTCGAACGCCTCGCCAGTATATTAGATGCATCTATGGTTCGCGTCGGTCGGCCATCGGCAGTGTACAAACTATTCTAGATCGGGTCGTACGACCTCAGCATAAATCGTGAGTGACGTTACTAGGACTCCGATTATATTTGGTATCTCTTTCTTGACTCGAGACTCGATAATTATTTGGTGATTTTTACGTGATAAATTAGCATGTGATACTTGGGGGTTTAAAATTGATATTATGTTAACGAATTATTATTTATCGTTTCTTATTCCATTATTACTATTGTGTTTCATGCTTATTTATAAATCCTGTACTTTATTTATTGACCTCTAGTAAGTGTCGATGTCGACCCATTATCACTACTTCTTCGAGGTTAGACTAGATACTTATTGGGTACACATTGTTTACATACTCACGCTACACTTCTGCACAAATTGTGCATGCACTAAGGCAGGTACACCTGGTGTCTGTCCAGGCGCGCACTCGCATTACCCAGAGGCCTAGTGGTGAGATGCTTTCCATGCTCCGTTCTGCAGCACCCGAAGCCTCCTGCTATTGTATTTATATTTCTGTCTATTTTGCTTCAGACAGTAATTGTAGGTTTTTTGTATATTCTACTAGATTACGCGTGCATTTGTGACATCGGATTTTGGGAGTTACTAGTAGATATTTATGATCTTGTCTATTAATATCACCATTTCACTCGTATGTTTTATTTTATGTTTCACATCAAAATGGTTAATTATTATTGGTTTCTTGTTAAATAAAATTCATTGCTCTAAAAATAAATAAAATGAACAATTAAATAGATAGTTCACCGTTGACTTGCTTAACAGCGATGTTGGATGCCATTACAACCTATAGTGGGGATTGGGTCGTGGCATAATTATTGTGTATCCTAGTTAGCCCTCTTGAGCCTGTAATCCTATTTATTTAGCAACGACATTACAAGCTTGACTCCTTTGTTAGAACTGACCATCTGTTTGAACCTTTTACCTCTCTCGATCAATTAAAATTGTTATGAGCTTGTTAAAAGCTAAGTAGAGGTATGATTGGATTTTTGAGTGGAATTAAAAATAATGAAAAAATGTGCAATGTTCGAAAAATTGTGAAAGTAAATTTTCTTAAGAAAAAAGAGAGAGAATATGTGTATGTATTAGAAAGAAAAAATTGATTCCTTGCTAGTGGTAGTTCTCATCTTGTTTGTGCTTGAAGAATTTGGAGCTTGATGCTATTATGTTGTGAAGGTTAGAGTTTGGTTCAATATAAGTATGGATTTTGAATTGATAAAGTATATGTATTAAAGTGCTTAGGGAGGTATAGTCACTATATCCAAATATATCCTACCCGCCCCGTAACCTACATTACAACCAAATAAAGTTCTACTTGATCTTTGACTGAGTGAGCTCGAATTAGTAGAGTATTACATTACAGGCAAGCCTATGGTACGTCTTCTGTGGCACATAAATCTTAATTCTGAAAGTGAATGAATTCTTTCTATCTTGAGTTCCTATTTGTTCTTGAACTTTGTTGTGTGTGAAACTAATCTCTGTTGTTTGTGTGAGGGCACATGACTTGTGAAGGAAAGGTAATGTCTTTGGCTCTGTGTTAGAGTAAGTGAGCAGGTTTTTTTAAAAATACGTGGTGCTTGCGAGTTGAGTCTTGAGGTTAGGATGTTATGGTATGGTGCTTAGTGTGCTTTAATTATTCTTGGCAGGATGAGTTAGGAGAGTTGCTTGAAAATGTCGTCTCTATTTGAAGTGTAGTTTGATTGCTCGGGGACGAGTAATAGTTTAAGTGCGGGGTGTTGATGGCAGGTTAGGAACTCGTATTTTGGCTTTATTTTACACTATAATTACTACACTTTAAATGTATTTGAGACTAATTATTAGTACTTGGAACTTATTATGTATGTTATGTTGTATATGATATGATTTTGAGTGAATAAGAAAGTTTGAAGCTAAAATAGATGATTTGGAGTTTTGAAGTCTGAGTAGAAGCCCAAGAAATTAAGTCGGGATCATGTTCTGGGGTCGAAGACCAAGTCTAGATATCAAAAAAAAAAATTACTCTAAGAAAAATGTACTACCGCCCCATGTCATGTGCCACAGGGCACGGGTTGCTAGTGCAAAATTTCTGCAGAGTGAAAAAAAATAGGCCTCGGAACTTGCCCACTAATGCGGCGCATGGTGCGCCGCCCGGGGCATCGCGGTAGTGTAATTTTTCGTCCAACTTTTTCCACTTCGGCTCAGTAAGGTAGTTTCATCCGAGCCCATTCCTACATAGTATAAATACACCAAAAATGCGATTTTTTAAAAACGTTTGACCTACGGAAGATCGAAAGAGCTTTGGAGACTCTAAGGCACAAGGATTCATCATTCTTTCCTCAACTCAACACCCGAGTTTGAATTGAATTCATGTTTTCTTATTCTTCAACTCTATCTGTGATTACTTCCTCCATGATGGAGTAATTTACTTTAGAGTTTGACGGATATGATGTTTTGATTGATATTTATAGATTTTAACTCTAGTATTTTGCATGAATTCGTTTATGGAGCTTTGAATTGATTGCAATTTTGTTCACCGAATTATGTAATCGAAAGAGGAATATTTTGGGTGATTATCTTTGCACTATTTCGTTTGGTTTAATTCATTGATTCTTTTAAGTAATCAAAAGAGCTTGCTGAATTGTTGATTAAATCAAGTTAGGAGAATATTCGAGAGACATTTTCCTAAAGACTAGTCCATTAACGTGTTCTTGCATATCTTCACAGTGCTTTATATTAGTTTACCTCATAGAGTTCATATTTAATCGAGAGAGGAGTCTTGGCTATACGATTGAACTAATCATCGAGTGAATTCATAGAATCATTAGAACATTAGAGGGAATTGAACTGGAGTTAGATCCCGAATAACGATTTTGCTCCTATCTAGTCACGACCCTTATTTTGATTATTTCAGTGTTGCTCAAATCTTGTCTTTTCGTGATCAATTGTTAATTGTTGTAGTTTTAATAATTACTTTAGTTCATAATCATTCCAACCAAAGTGTTAATTATCCTGAATAGTAATAACTCATAAGTTATTTGAACATTATTTAAATTAAATACTTGTGAACACGATAATTATACTATACTATCTTTGATTAGCGAATATAAATTTTCTTCTATGTTTTGCGCTCATCAATAATTTTGAATAGTCAGTATTTTTCATGAATATGTTTTGAACACGTATCGAATGTCAAAATAAAATACCGGAATAGGAGAACCGGAGTATTAGATTGAAAAAGTAAAGATGTCTATCGGGCAATTTTACCTTTTTAAATGTGAAATTTTTTGTTTAAAAATTAATGTACGAATTTACATAAAAAACTAATATACGTGTCAGATAAAGGGAGTAGGTTCACCGGCTCTCAACGGAGTTAACATAAACCCGAGTTTATTAAAGCGGGTCAATGACCTACTACTTGTATTCCCTTTTGCTTCACTGAACCGCTCCTCTCTCGATCTCACGCTTTCTTCTTTATAGGGTTTTTGCAAGGTTTTAGAAAGTTTCCCAAATTTGAAATTCTTCAGTCTGACTTGAGCTGAAGCTTTTTCTGGCTACAAAACCCTAGACTTTATTACGGGTAAGCCCTCAATATTTGTACAATTTGATTTACATATCTGGTTAGATTGATTTAGTTCTTTGTGTACTTTGTTTAAACCTTCTTCATACTGTTAAAGATTCAAGATTGAAGATGGGGTTCTACTGAAAAAAGTGAAAAATTTACATTTCTTGAAACTTTTGGGGGAATTGTATGTTTGAGAAATTGAGGGACTTTAGGTTTTGTATGCTGTTAAAAAATTGAAGATTGAAGGTGGGTTTCTGCTGAAAAATGTGGAAATTGTGATATTTTAGGGAATTTTGAGTTCTGAGTTATGTGAAAGAGACTAGGGTATTGTATACTGTTTGAATCTTCTTTTTACTGTTAAAGATTGAAGCGAGTTCTACTGGAACATACATCTTCGGGAAGTGTTGGGGCAGTGGTGATATTTTTGGGAAATTTGAGTTCTGAGTTATGTGAAAGAGACTAGGGTATTGTATACTGTTTGAATCTTCTTTTTACTGTTAAAGATTGAAGCGAGTTCTACTGGAACATACATCTTCGGGAAGTGTTGGGGCAGTGGTGATATTTTTGGGAAATTTGAGTTCTGAGTTATGCGAGAGAGACTAGGTTTTGTATACTGTTCGAATCCTTATTATTATACTGTTAGAGATTGAAGACTGAAGGTGTTTTTCTACTGAAGAGTACATTTCTGGAATGTTTTTGGGAAGTGGTGAGATTTTTAGGAATTTTGAGTTCTGAGTTATGTCAGAGAGTCCTGGATTTTGTATACTGTCTGAAGCTTCTTTTTACTGTTAAAAGATTGAAGATTGAAGGTCGGCTTCTGCTGAAAAATACATTTCTAGAAGATTTTGGGAAATTGGTGGTAATTTTGGAAAGTTGAGTTTGAGTTAAGTGATATGAGGTTTTGAATATGAACGATGGAGGCGGGGAGAATGTGGAAGACAGTGGCAAAAAGAAGAAATCAGGGGTCAATGCATTTTCCCAGGCTATTGCTAGAATTGTCATTGCACAGATATGTGAGAGTGTAGGGTTTCAGGGTTTTCAGCATTCTGCATTGGATGCGCTCTCAGATGTGGCGGTCCGGTATGTTCGAGAAGTAGGGAAGACAGCTGATTTGTATGCGAATTTAGCTGGCAGGAGTCAGGGAAATGTGTTTGATGTGATTCAAGGATTGGAAGATTTGGGTTCCGTCCAGGGTTTTTCTGGTGCTTCAGATGTCAATCGCTGCCTTTTTAGTTCCGGGACGATCAGAGAACTAATTAGACATGTTAATGAGGCTGAGGAAAACCCCTTTGCGTATTCTATTCCCGGTTTTCCAGTTGTCAAGGATGTGAAACGAAACCCTAGCTTTGTACAAGCTGGAGAAAGCCCCCCAGAGCACGTGCCTTCTTGGTTACCAGTGTTCCCAGACTCAGAAAGCTACTCAAATTTGAATTCAGCAGAGAAGAAAGACAGTGATTGTAGAAACAGTAAGGTTGAGCAAGTTGAAGAGCTGAGAAATGCAGACAAGCCTTTGGTGCCAGGGAGTGGCTTAGGAGCTTCTGTAGCTATTAGTCAGGAAAATCCTTCCAAGGCTAAAAGAGTAATTCAATGTAATCCGTTTCTTGCCCCACCTCTGCACTTCGGGGAGAAGGAAGTGTCTCAAGTTTCTGTTCCTGTTAGACTTTCCGATGAGGCCTTGGTTCAGCCTCAAAATCATGCAGCAATGGAGAACCAAGCTTGTATGTTAGAGACATTTGCACCAGCCAATGAAGCAGTCAAGGCTACTCCAGTGGACATTGAAGATGGCAGGAATAACATTCTATTAAACACCAAATCCCCTCTACAATTTAGATTGAGAAGGAGCGGAAAACCATTAGGTAAGGCAGTTGGTCTTCTGGATAAGGACCATGAGAACTTTGCATCTCCTCTTTGTGGTGAAAATGGAAAAGATGATAAGAAGAGGAGGGCGGAACAGATCCTTAAAGAATCTGAATCTGAATCTGATATGCAGGATTTGCCTCACTTGTAAATTAGGAATCATTACTTAGAACTTGTATACTAGTTTAGCAAACTGGTGGCAGTTGCTGGTTCCTAGGTTATCAAAGTTAGGGGCCTAGAATTGTCTGTGCTTGGATCATACAGACTGCTAGAGTGGTAATTTTCACACTTTTTTGAGGTATGTAGTGTCAGTAATATTTTGCACTTTTGTAGTACTATTGAAGTATCCATTTTTCTTTTCTGGTGTGATCTTTCTTGCCGCTCAACAGTATATTGTGTGTTAAATGGACATTAAATCATCCCCCTGCTTCACTTCTGGTGCACTATATTTTTTTGTTCCCTTTCTGTGTCCTCTTTAAAAAGAATTTCCACCTACAGTTTGCAATACAAATCTAAATCTCCAAACTAAAAGAAAAAGATGACATACTCAGGTGGGAGAGGAAAGAGAGAATATAATAGAAAGGCTTGCTCATTTTAAATTTCTGCAGCATTTTAGGCGTATTCTTCCTTTTCTGGGGAATTGCAGGTTGTTGCATATAGTAAGAGAAATTGTGTAATTGGCGTTGATGATCCCTGATTGTGTACAGCTATCTAGAAAACCAAATAAGTTTGAACTTTGTGAACTATGTTGCCAGTGGGTAATTAAAAAGTCTTGGAATATAATATCATCTCAATTCCTCTGGCTAGTCTGATTTGTAGGTTTTATTGCATAGTTTGATGCTGGTGTTTCACTTGATATACATGTTATGTGTAGATCAAAGCACTACTTCTTTCTTCCCTCCCTTCTGTCAATGAGCCGTAACAGTGACTACAGTGCACCTATAAACAAATGTGACGACATTATGTAAGCAACAATTAAACATGACAAACATTCCGGACATAGTATTTGTTATTATTGTTTAACATTGCACACTTATTGTATAAGTTTAAACTAATACAGTATGTGTGCAACGTTAAACAATAATATGTTAAACACTGATAGATGTCATGGAATCTTTGTAAGAAGAACAAGGGTATAATTGCTCTTCTTAGTAGAATTGGATTTCAGCGCAAGCTTGGTGTTGTTTATATATAATACTTGTTACCATTCTCAAAAAAGCATATTATATTAGTTAAACAGATGCTTACTCTCTTTCAGTCAATAGGTGCCAAGCACTTGTCTTTTGAGTAAGTTCTTTTAAATTATTTGGCAATTTGTGAAGTTTTTGGTTTAAATTAAGGATTTGAGACCTCTAATATAAGACTCTGTAAGTGAGATATGAAGTTCAAATTTTGGCTTTATATGATGAGAAGCATTATGCATGTGTCATACTGCTTATGTGGCACCTGTACCTTTTCTCATGTTACCTTATTCCCTTTACACTTTGGTGGATTGTCATAAACCATCTGTCTTCACTCGTACGTGCAATAATGTCTGCGAAGTTCTGTTGGCCACTCAGTTATTTCTATGTAAAGAGAGGATGAGAGAGAGGATGTATTGCAACTGTATTGAAGTCTCGATTGCTCATTCATGTTATAAGATCAGGTATGCATCTAATGTCACTAAGCCATCTTGGTTTGAAGTCCACTATACCTTATGGCCTACTTTATGTTATTTTGCCTTTGACCCAACAAATGATGTTTTTGGGTTTACTATTGCCAGTAATGCCTATAGTTTTATTTTTTTCTGCTGTCTCAAAATTTTGTTCCACATTCTGTCCCCTTGAATGGCATCTTTTGCGCACAAAGTTAGGGACTGTAGGTCGCAAATGACCTGGGGATGAGGTTTTCCTCTCTGTTTAACGTTGTATGTTAACAGTTGAACTGCAGAGGTAGGAAAATCAAGCACCTTGAGGACTTGGAAAAGAAAAGGTTCTCCTCCACATAAAAGACCTAATTAACCTTTTCTGGTTCTGGCTATTTATTCAAGGACCACTGTTTTTTAGAGATGTTGATGGGAATATCACACTCATTATTGAGACCTCACTCATAGTCGGATTCAGCTATCTATGGTGGTGCTAATCGAACTTATTTGTTTCTTAAACGTAAGACCTGTCTGTGTTTGCTGGCCTCTCTCCACTGACTTGCTGGATTTTCCCGCTGATTGTTTCCCTAGTTTAAAATCTTGTGCTTATAAATTGTGAAGACCTTCTACTTAGAGGTGTGTATATCTATTTTGGAACTCTCAAATGTGGGGACTTCCACCAAAGCATGAATGATTTGTATCTCATGTTTCGCCTCCCAGAGCATGTGCCTGCTTGGTTACCCATGTACTCAGAGAGCTACTCAAATTTGAATTCAGCAGAGAAGAAAGACAGTGATAGTAGAAACAGTAAGATACCTAATTGACCTTTTCTGGTTCTGGTTATATATTCAAGGGCCAAGTTTTTCTCGGAGATTTTGATGGGAATACTACATTCCTTGTAGAGACCTCACTGATAGTCGGATTCAGCTATCTTTCTGGTGCTGATCAGACTAGTTTTCTTAAATGTAAAACCTATCTGTGTTGGCTGGCCTCTCTCCAATTGCCAGCTTCTCCTGCTGATTGGTTTCCTAGTTCAAATTTTTTACAGCAACAACAATAACATACCTAATATAATTCCACAAGTGGGGTCTGGGGAAGGTAGTGTATACACTGTACACAACCTTACCCTACCTTGTGCACGCAGAGTTCCTAGTTCAAAGTTTTGTGCTTATAAAATGTGAAATCCTTCTGTTTTGAGGTTCAATCTGTTTTGAAACTCTCAAATGATGGGGGCCTGCCCAAATCATGAAATGTTATCTCAAACTGTCCCAAGACTTGCTAGTATTTTACTTAGGGTTATATGCTTCAAATCATGTAGATTTTAAATTATACACGGGCAAAGCATTTGAAATAATCCATAATAACATCTTTTGGATTTATATTTTCAAGAAAAAAATGATTACTTTCATGGGAGATTAAAGCCGTCATGCATCAAGATATGTTAGTGCTAAAAGGTAACTTAAACAGGAGGGCTTAACTTCAACAGGAGGCCCAACGAGTTTGGGCCAACTCTATGACTTAAGCGTGTGATTCTGCTTGAGCGTGTGAGTGGGAATAACTGTGTCCAAGCGTTCCCTAGAATTTTATTTTGGGTTATAGAGATTGTGAGGAAGAGGAGGAAGAGGGTTGTGTATGGTCAACCTAGGATCAGGTGTGGTGCCTTGACTTTAACAAAGTGCAGGAGTTGGGGCAGAAGGTGATGGCTATGGGAGCCTGGAGGAGCAGTGGGGACGCGAGCTGTATGTGGACCATGACAGCGGAGTGTATTAGATTAGCTGCGAGAGAGGTGTTAGGGGTCTCGAAGGGTTTCTCTGGCGGTCACAAAGGTGACTGGTGGTGGAGTGAGGAGGTACAAGAGAATGTGGAAGCTAAGAAAGCGGTGTACTTGAAGCTTGTAGAGAGCATGGACGAGGAGGCAAAGGAGAATGGACAAGGAGGGGGTATATGAGGGGTAAGAAGGAGGCGAAGTTAGCGGTTACGGCGGCTAAGATTGCGGCGTTTGGGCGTCTGTAGGATGAGCTTGGGGCCAAAGGCGGGGACAAGAAGTTATACAGGCTAGCCAAGGTGAGAGAGAGAGGAAGGCACATGATCTGGATCAAGTTAAGTGCATCAAAGATGAGGAAAGTAGAGTTTTGATGGAAGAGGCTCAGATTAGACGAAGATGGCAGACATATTTCTATAAACTCCTAAATGAAGAGGGTGATAAGAATATTGTGCTGGGCGATTTGGAGCACTCCGAGGATCGCCGGGATTTCGGGTATTGTAGGCGCATAAGAGTAAAGGAGGTCGAGGGGGCTATGCGCAAGATGCACAAGGGTAGAGCAACCGGGCCAAACGAAATCCCTGTGGAATTTTGGAAGAATGCGGGTAGGGCAGGTTTGGAGTGGCTCACTAGGCTGTTCAATGTCATTTTTAGGACGAAAAAGATGTCCGAAGAATGGAGGTGGAGTACGATGATTCCGTTATATAAGAACAAGGGCGATATACAAAGTTACAATAATTATAGGGGGATTAAGCTGCTTAGCCATACGATGAAAGTTTGGGAGAGGGTGAGGAGCAGTGTGTCCATTTCTGAGAACCATTTTGGTTTCATGCTGGGGCGTTCGACTATGGAAGCTATTCATCTGGTGAGGAGATTGGTGGAGCGGTATAGAGAGATGAAGAAGGACTTGCATATGGTGTTCATTGACCTAGAAAAAGCTTATGACAAGGTCCTGATAGAGGTGCTTGGAAGCTAAAGGAGTCCCAGTAGCCTATATTAAGGTGATTAAGGACATGTATGATGGAGCTAAGACTCGGGTTAGGACGGTGGGAGGAGACTCAGAATACTTTTTGGTTGTGATGGGGTTGCACCGGGGATCAACTCTTAGCCCATTTCTATTTTCCTTGGCGACGGACGCATTGACGCGACACATTCAAGGAGATGGGCCATGGTGTATGTTATTTGCTGGTGACATAGTTCTGATTGATGAGATACAGGGTGGTGTTAATGAGAGGCTGGAGGTTTGGAGGCAAACCCTAGAGTCTAATGAATTCAAGTTAAGCAGGACCAAGACGGAATACTTGGAGTGCAAGTTCAACAACGATACCCAGGAAGCAGACATGGAGGTGATGCTTGATACACAAGTTATCTCCAAGAGAGGTAGTTTCAAATATCTTGGATCTATAATACAAGGTAACAGGGAGATTGATGAGGATGTCACGCACCGTATCGGAGCTGGATGGATGAAGTGGAGGCTCGCTTCCGGTGTCTTGTGTGATAAAAATGTACCGCTGAGACTTAAAGGTAAGTTCTACAAGGTTGTAGTTAGACCGACTATGTTGTATGGCGCAGAGTGTTGGCCGATCAAGAACACTCATGTCCAGAAGGTAAAAGTAGCTGAGATGAGGATGTTAAGGTGGATGTCTGGGCATACCAGGTTGGATAAGATTAGGAATGAAGTTATTCGGGATTAGGTGGGAGTGGCTTCTGTGGAGGAAAAGATGCGTGAGGCGAGGTTGAGATGGTTCGGGCATGTTAAGAGGAGAAGTATAGAAGCACCGGTCAGAAGGTGCGAGAGGTTAGCCTCAGTGGGTATCAGGAGGGGTAGAGGTAGGCCTAATAAGTCTTGGGACGAGGTTATTAGGCGGGACATGGCGCAACTGGAGTTGACTGAGGACATGGCCCTAGATAGCAAGGTGTGGATGCCGAGGATTAGGGTAGAAAGCTAGTAAGTAGTCGAGCGCATCTCTTTGTCTTTCCCAGTTCGCTAGCATTAGCGTTAGTATGTTATCGTTTTATTCATAGATTGCTATTATTACCTAGAGTTTAACTGCTTTCTTGGCTTCAGTATTTTTATCTTATTGTTATTCCTTCTTGTTGCCATTACTTTTGTCATCCGTTCTCCAGCCGAGGGTATATCAGAAATAACCCCTCTGTCCTTCTAGGAGTAGGGGTAATGTTGCGTACATCTCACACTCCCCAGACCTCATTTGTGGGAAAATACTGGGCTTGTTGTTGTTGTATGTTTCAAATCCTTCAGCTTTTAAATGAAACATAGTCAAGCATTTGAAATAAATCCAAAATAACGGCTCTTGGGTTTATATTTTGAAATCCAACTAAAAGTATATCCCAACGGGTACAAAAGTTGGGATTGCGTATTTGAAATTACTATAGAGCCAACTTCCTCCATCTCAGCATGCCCTTAATTATTTTTTTGATAGCTATAGTGTACTTCGACTAGTTCCACGGGGTACCTGCTACTCAACAATGCCTTTATATTATTGGACTGTTGTAGAGATGTTGGGATCCTTCCTCAAGCTAATTTACGTATTATGTTTCTGCATCCTTACTCAAGCTAATTGAAGTATTATGTTTCTGCATATGCAAAATCTGAGCCAGTGTGAAGTAGCACTATTTATCCAAATCATGGCGGATGTTCTATTGTTTTCTCTTAAGTTTTACCTAATTGAATTAATTGATTAATATCTTGATCGATTACTTCTGAAAAGTTAAAAGGGATAATCGGACTGTGAATATAGCTTGTTTGGCCAAGCTTCAAAAATCAACTTATTTTGAAAAATGTTTGTTCTCAAAAGTACTTTTGGTGAGAAACTGTTTGTATTTGGTTAATTAATTTGAAAAGCACTTCTGAGCAGCAATTAGTTTTTGGCCAAGTTTTTAAAAAATGCTAAGTATATTCTTCTTAAAAGTGCTTTTCAAAAAAGTGTTTTTGAGGAGAAGCTACTTTTTTTCTGCTCCTCCAAAACTGCTTCTGCTTCTACTCAAAAACACTTTTTTTTTCTTTTAAAAGCTTGGTCAAACACTTCAACTTTGAAAAAAGCACCTTTTTTGTTAAAAAAAAAAAGTGGTTTTGGCTTTGGAGAAGTTTGGCCAAACATGCTAATAGTATCCTTTACATTCCATACAGTTCATGCCTCAAATATTTCCTCGTACATAACCAACACGATCTTATGAAGAGTAAGAAAAAAAGCAGGGAAGCTTGAGAATTTACTCAGTATATAGTTATCGACAACGCTGTCTTGGTGTTTTATGCTGTTCGGTAGTCATATCACTAATGATTTCTCTAATCAGGTCTTTAAATATTAAGCGCTCAACATCCAATACCACCACTGGGGTCTCATTGTGATGATTTGTCCAATCTTCTGATTGATGCATCATATCTTTATTTAGAATGCTGATCAATTCATCATCTTCAGAGTCCATGCTAACATCTCTTTTAGAATTGAAATGGTCTATCTCTGACTTAAGTTCTTTCAGAAGCTGCATTGCATTCCAACACTTTCTCTGCATTAAATTGTTATCTGAACCTAGTTTGCGGACAAGAATCTCATTGACGGTGTCAAATATGATTTTCCTACTTGTCTTATGATCAAATTTTATCTGAGCAATCTCTTCACTGTGTTCTTCAGTTGCTAGCAAACTGCTTTCCTCAGTCTGCTCTACGATGTCGAACAACTTTGGGTTGATCAAATGGCTGGGTGAGTGAAGCTGAATGGTTGTGGACATGGAGGCCACATCTTTTAGAAGGCCAGATGACAGTAGTATCTTAGTAATGTATCTGTGGTCTGGATCGTGGTTCTGGCATAAGGATGTGGAGGCCACATCTTTTAGAAGGCCAGATGACAGTAGTATCTTAGTAATGTATCTGTGGTCTGGATCGTGGTTCTGGCATAAGGATGTGGAGGCCACATCTTTTAGAAGGCCAGATGACAGTAGTATCATAGTAATGTATCTGTGGTCTGGATCGTGGTTCTGGCATAAGGGTGCAAGTTGATCCATGTTTGCTTCGTGGATGGTGGAGTTTGGTTTTTTGAGTTCATGAACCAATTCATCCTTGCTTTCTAATATCTTATGGTTGGACTCGATGTCAAGGTCAAGTCTGGTCCTGTAAGGTGAATGATCTAGGTCATCTCGACACCAAACATCCGGACCTGCAAAACCATCATCTGTTAAGGTGGAAATGGACAGAGAAGATTATTAGTAGTCAAGTCATGCTTCAACACCAAATTCAATTCTAGCAAAACTCTTTCTGCAGGTGACGTTCTTCCATCTGTTTATTTTCTTAATAATAAAATAAATTTCCTGCCCTTTTTCTTCTTTTAAATTTTCTGATAATATGAATAAGGGAATCTAAACATGTTCAAGTGTAATCATAGGGACTTGTTCTCGTCCAAGTTATGTGCCTCAGTCACATAAGTGGCCTCCAATTTGTGGCTAAGATTATTAATATTCTATGTGGTACTCATTATCTCTTGGCATGTGAACATATGCATAACTCCTTTAGGTGCTATTTTCTAAGTTAAGTTTAATTAGCCCTAATAAAATGATGACGGTCACTAAGAATTACATAATGATGTTAAACTAAAGGTGGAGCTGAGACATGCAGTTTAGAGAAAGAAATAGAACGAAACAAGCCTTACTTTCCAGAGTGCAGTATCCAAGTTGTCATCTGTGAACTAAGCCATATATAATTTCCTTTTCCTTTTGTTTCAAGTGATATATTGAACTCTGCTATTGTGCTTTATGTTCCTCCATATAGTGCTTTTTCCTGGACACTATGATTATCTCTAGTTTGCATCTAAAACAGATGATTTAGAGAAATAGAATGATACCTCTAAAAGCAGTCACAACGTTCTTCTTGACTGGAGATGGTGAATCTCCGACATAGAATATAGCATTAAGCACTGAGACATGACTTAGTTGTTCAACTGTTGCTATTGCAAGTTCATTCGTTGGTGTGTCTTCACTAAGCCTCAATGTGTCACCCTGGACCGTGTCAAAGTCAACGTCAGCAAGTGTTCATACATAGAAAAACAGATGTAAAAATTGGAAGTCACTTACTCTTTCTTTATTGTCCTCTTGCCTCTTAGCATCAATCTGGAAGGAACAATTTGTGCTTGCTTCTGTTTCTGCATGTGACTCCAAACTGTTGTTGATTTCCGTTAGAACAGAAACTGCACCAGCATGCTCACTTAAATTTCTTTTGTAACTGCTGATTTCAGTTAGATCATCAGTTTGTTGCATATTGCTAGGTTTTGCTTTCTGATTCCTTTTTGAAGACCCTAGTTCTTTAATTTGCTTAATTGATTGCCTTTTAACCTTGCTGGTTCCTGATGATTGAATGGTCTGACAAGCTTGTTTGTCCATGCACTGTTGCTTCTGCTGTAGTCTTGGACTTAAAGTTCCATAATTCTTTCCTAGTACAGGACTGGAAGTTCCTTCCCTTTGTTGACAAGAGGTTGTTTGCACTGCCTTTAATGTTCTTCCTTTAGTCTTCTTATCTGGGGAAGGAAGATAACGGCCAGAGCACGTGGCATTGTACGTTCTAGGTGTCATACCTTTGGATGTTTGCTTGTCAACTGTGTCATCTTTGTTATATACAAGCTCTTGAGTGTAAATTTCTTGAAATTTGGAGACATTTGCAGTTGGGGCAGCGGAACTTGCGAGTCTGATTTTATCATTTTGTTCGGCTGGTTTTGGTGTCAAATTTGACGATTCTGATCTTTTTGGTGGGTAAGTCACCTTTTTAGTTAGTGATGGTGGGCTACGTTGCTTCCTCTGCTGCACTGATTGCAACTCAGCATCAGATGCCTGCGGAGCTCTTTGGCCTTCTAACCTTTCTCTTGTCTTCTGCATTGCCTGAAGTGTCTGTTTCAGAGCGCTGAGATCACTCCCAGCCCTTCTGAACTCTAGTTCTATTGTCCTTTTCTCAATTTCGCAATAAACAGAGTAAGAAAGGTGTGGACTCTGTGGTGAAGCTTCCATATCCTTGTATCTGACAGATGTTTTTTTGGAGGCTCGACTGGCCTCTTGTTGCCTCCAGCTAGCAGATTCTTGTGGAAGCCCTGAAGATGAGGCAGATCTCATGATTGAGTTGGTGGATTTCATCTGCGGAGAGGCAAAATCCCATTTCAAAATCTGTGGTGACATGGTAACTTGATTTGTCTTGCTCTTTCGAGCTGATCTTGTTGATATAAAAATAGAATCCTTAGCCGAGGAAGTGTTAGGTGTCACAATCTCAGTATCAGTTGAGGGAACAGGATTTGGAAAAGGTTCCAACCCCATTAGCTTTGCTACAATGCTGGAAGATCGATTACGACATTGCAGTTCTTGATCCCCTAAAAGAAAATTTGATCTGGATTCAGAGGCTGATCTCCTCAAGGACTGTTGTCTGCTGTCCAGTGACAATCTAGGAAGATCTTTTAGCTTCATCATAGACTGCATCGTTTCTGTTGACTCTCTTCCATCACATGAGAAACAAGGACGGTCCTTTGGTGCACACTGTAGGAAACCAACTTTATCTTCCTCTGCGTTCCAATGTGCTTCACAAAGCTTTGCAGGACCACGTGCTGTTCCACTGGATGCCTTCCCATAATTCGAGTGCTGAAGAGGCCTCGGAGAATCTATGTGCTTCATCACGCGGACTCTACCTTCTACTTTAGCAACAGTTTTTACAGATAAACTGCGGGTGTCCCTGTACATTGAGTCCTTAACTACATCTCGGAGATCAGGAGAGTGTCGACCTGAATGAGAAAGACTTGATTGCTTGGCTGGTAGGATTTGTGAAGGAGATTCTGATAAGTTACTTAGAGAACGACAAAGTGGCGCTTGTTGTACTCTTTTGTTGTCCTGCAGTGTTGAAGAAGTAGATGGACTTAAAAAAGAGCAGGAGGAGGCTTTCAATGTGTCGTTTGAGGGCAACTCTCTTGCTGTGATAGCTTCCTGCAGTTTCCGATCACACCATTAAGTCTTTATAGGTTGATTTAGAGATGCTTGGATGAATGATTAGTTCAAGATTAAACCATTTGTTCAAAATCTTACTATTTCAATTTCTGTTGCATATTTGGCTGCCATATCGTTCATCGCACCTTCAAGATAGAACAACCAACAGTGAGATTCTCTTCACGTAATGCAGATAAGATTCAACTTCTACACTATACAAAGTTACTTGTTGTAGGTCATTTTAGTCTGATGTTGTAATAGAGTTATATATTGCCAGTGCGCAGAAGTTGAACTCATTCAAGTAAACGGTCTAGTTAATTTGAGCGAATTTCATGAAGATGCACTGCGTTAAAATAAGTTGAATCACAGATATTAAAATGATACCACAGGGTGCAAACCCAGTAGAGAGAAAAACTGCACAAGAGTGTCACGAGAGAAGGAATAACTTTGAGTTCTATGTAAAGGTAACTATGTATGTTAAAAATAATAATAATTTGTAAGATAAGTTAGCGCGGAAAGATATTTACACTGCCATGTATACAACTTAAAATTAGTCGTGTAATTTGCACTCATTAACTTAAAATTAGATAAAATGTCAATAATTTTAGAGGTGGATACAACCTTATAACACCGGATTCATCTGAATCTAACATTTTCGATATGAAATATAAATTTATATGTAAAAATTCATTAAAATTATAATGAATAATATATAGGTTTGCACCCATAATTTAAAAATATAATAAGTTCAATGTTAAGAGTCTTAACGGTTAAAATTGTAGTGTTTAGATTTTGAATCCCCCTCTAAATGTTCTATTGTGCTTTAGATTATTACTGGTAACAATTATCCACGTTTCTTTAACATGTTTTTATTCACAAAAATATCACTCTTTAGTTATTCGACAAGAGGGGTTGCTGAGATGGTCAGCACTCCCCACCTACAATCTCAGGGTTGTAAGCTCGAGTCATCAAAGGAGCAATAGCTCAACAAAGGAGATTAAAGGGGAGGGGAATAAAAGATAGAAAAAAAAACTCTGGAGTCGTTCTATGAAGACAGTTGTTGCAAAGGAGAGAAACGTCCAAATGACTTATAAATTTAAGAGGCATTTGGTATTGTTTTATTCTTCACTTGCAAGAAGAGTGAATATGCTATATGCCTATATCAGTGGTGAGGAAAAGAACCTGAGAATAGTAGCCTTTTGTGATTTTGAGCGTAGAGACGTCGGAAATGGTGTGTGTCAAATAGCTGAAAAAACCCATTAATACAACCAATCTGCTTCTGCACATGACTATTTTCGTCTGCCAAGGAAGATACTATTCTTGCAGACATTTCTCAAAGCCTGCAAAGGAATTAAACATTATATATAATCTTAGTGTTAGACACTGCAACTTCGGTTATCTTCTATTCCTGGTGTCCTTTCATATACAAAACAAGTGCAGAATGTTATATAATTCATCACATTGGAGGCAAAAGTTGTACGCTTTTAAGAGTAAGAGGTGATAACTCATTTTATTGCATGCATTCATTTATTAGTTGCATGTCCCAAGAGGTAGTGGGGTGGGGGATACAGAATTTAGATTGTTGAAGTAGCGAAGCCAGAAATTTAATTCCAATAAGGGGATTTGAAAAAATGCAAAAATGCTATACTACATATTCAAATTTGTGCATTTAAAATTTTAAACTCTATATATATTTATATATTAGATAGCAAAACCGCAAAATCATGGTTGAATCCGTAACAGCATGAAGAAGTTGAGGAAACTCACCAGCGGAAATTAAAGAGGAGCTCTCTGATCAGCTAGAGAAATGAGGGCAACAAGAAAGATAAAGTCACAGTGATTCGGTACAAGGAGTGAACAGGGGTTGAATTATGTGAATTAAGGATGGAGAAACAAAATGCAGCCACGGACTGTAAGTTAGGAGGCGAATCTCCTGACCCAAGAAAAGATGTTTTAACTGTTTTCCCCAAATAACAAAAGAGTAGAATGTTTATTCTGCCAGCGAAAAAGCTGTTTTGTTTTTAGAGAGAGGGGGGGAGTGGGAAATATATACACATATATATATACACACACATAAGAGGAATAACTTAAATGACTTTAAACGAGAGAAAAGAGCGGCAAGGTATAGAGGCGGATCTAGAATTTAAACTTTATGAGTTTGACTATTCGAGTTCCTAGATTCATAACTTAATATTTGTTCATATTTACGTAAATTTCTTAGCACATATACAAGTTTTGAGCAAAAGTTATCTGGTCAGCTGAACTCATAACTTACTTTCATTCATGCAGGTAGGGGTGTTCGTCGGTCGGTACGGTACGGTATTTAGATATTTCGGTTCGGTATTTTCGGTATTCGATTTCGTAAAATGCTATACCAATACCGTACCTAATTAAATTCGGTATGGTTTGGTTTTTCTCATTTCGGTTTCGGTTTATTCGGTTCGGTAACTTCGGTTTATTCGGTTCGGTAACTTCGGTTTATTCGGTTTGAATACTAGCCAGTGCATAGAGTCATAGATGGTAATATTCTTAATTGAAGCACTCAAAAATACAAAACTAAAAACGTTTGTTGATAAAAGTTTTGTCCAAAATAAGCAAATACCGACCTAGAGAGAGAAAACTTAGAGAAATATCTTGTTACTTGTTTAGAGTTAATTGATAAACTTAGAGAATAAAGGAAAGTAAAATTTTAGATTTCTTATATTTATGTAATAATTAATAAAATGTGTATTGTGTAATACAATATACATTTCGGTACGGTATCAGTATTTCGGTATTTCATTTTAAAATACCAAATACCATACCTAATACCAATTTATTTTAAAACATAAACCAAATACCATACCGAATACCAAAATTTTCGATTTCGATATAATAATTCGGTATTTACCAAATTATGCACAGCCCTACATGTAGGGCATGCAATTTTTGGTGATGTGTCCCTAACTTTGATCTTTGGGTAAGAGCACAACTCATAAAAGGTGAGTTAAGTGCATGTTACAACTTCAAAGAGTCACAAATAAAAACTTTATATTTAAACAAAGAAGGATAGAAAGACGAGCTCATTATCCATCGAGCTTGGAAAAAAAATACTAGAGAATGTATTGGGAAAAATAAAAATAAAGGATTAGATCAGACTGTTTAAGTGTAGGGATCGGACTAGGGGTGGGCATAATACCGACCGAACCGAAAAAATTCGCCGAATCGAAAATTTCGGTTTATTCGATTTCGATTTTTAAGTTTATTCGGTCGGTTTGCGGTTTATAGTTTTAAAAAGTTCGGTGTTCGATTCGATGATCGATTTTAATGGATCGGTTTTTGATTAAATCGAAAAATCGAATTTCGGACCTCTGCAATAAGTAGCTGACAGGTGAGAAATCCAAAAGAAAAATGCAGTTTGTAAAAAAAACCAGAGCCATTTCTTATGGTCAAAGATCCGATTCTAAAACGTGAATCAAATTAAATTTTAAAAGCTTCTTTTTCAGTTTGAAAAGTATTGATATCGTCGAAACATGATGGTAGGCTGCTGCGTCGACTGTTTTGGAGAGCATACTAGTTCGGCCACGAAAGCGGCGGAGCTCTGACAAAACCATTCGGATTCTGGGCGTTCCGTGCGATGCCGTTTCCGTGTTTATCCGGTTTCTGTATTCCTTCACGTAAGTTCTCAACATACACGCAAATCGGTTTGTTTTCTTTATATATATATATTGGTCTAGTTAATCTCATACAAACTTCAAATCTGATTGACTCCGTCCAAGTTGGAATTGAATATACTGACTTTTGACCATAAGAATAGATTCTTTTACCCTTAAGAATATTAGGCAAATTACTAATAAAAATAGTCACTTTTACTTTGCCATCACTTGAAATCGAAAATCGAACCGATTAAATTGAATCGAACCGAAGTTATTATGGTTCGATTTTGATTATTAAAATCACAAACCAAAAATCGAATTAACCAAATTGAAATTTTACAAAACCGAACAGAATCGACCGATGACACCCTAGATTGCACAAGTGGGTGATATATTTTTTATACTTTCCATATGGACAAAAATAATGAGTGGGAGAAGAGTCTGAGGTGTGGACATATATGTCACCTCACTACTAGTAATTCATACTATGCATGTGGAGTTTGTCAGGTAGATATTAAGAAAGTGGATATACAATATATATATATATATATATATATATATATATATTTTGAATATACTATGACAAATTGACAATACTTGCCCAGAAATCTAGAAAGTCCTTTCAGTCTTCCTTCACCTCTGCCAAATTTGACTTCTTTACCCTCTGCTATTAGGAAGATGGCAATGGCAGATAATTCTATCAAATTTATGTTGTTTACTTTTAGGATTTAACTTAATTACATGCACTCACAATGCGAGAATTTTAGTAGTACTATTCGTGTAATTTAATTAGTTAATTATAGTAGGCTATTATCATATCAAGATTTGTTATGAATAATTACGTTATGTTATACCGTAAGAGATTCTTTGTTTTTCTTAAACTGTAAATATACAGAAGCTAAAATCTTATTTCCTCTATAATTCTAAGGATACAAGACTTATAGCCTGTTTGGCCAAACTTCTAAAATCAGCTTATTTTGAGAAGCTTTTCTCAAAAGTACTAAACAATTTATGTTTGACTAATTAATTTAAAAAACACTTTTGAGCAGTAATTAGTGTTTGGCCAAACTTTTGAAAACTGCTTTTAAGTGTATTAATTTTCTCAAAAGTGCTTCTCAAAAAAATGCTTTTGAAAAAATATTATTTTTTTCTGCTTCTCCTCAAAAATACTTTTTTTTCTTCTAAAAACTTGTCGAAAGACCTCAATTTTTGGTCAAAAGTGTTCTTTTGACAAAAAAAAAATACTTTTGGCCCAAAAACAAGCTTGGCCAAACAGGCTATTAGTGGTGGAGTCACATTTTCTAAGGATAATCAGTTGCACCCCCTGTGGTAGAAACCTATTTAGCTGAAACTTTTAGTTAGTGTAGGAAAAATCTTAGTGTAGTGTTAGAAGGATGCAAAAAATATATTAATTAGTTTTGAGTCCGAGTTCCAACTATAACATTTTAGATTATTGTTTTTGAATCTAGTGATCATATCAAATTCTGCATCTGCTCCCGACGGCTAGTAAAAAGGCTTCTATGGCCTCTATATGCTCCACCATTTGGCTAGTGATGTCTGTTTTGCATCTTTGTGAAATTGCTATATGTCCCTGCCTTGATTATGCCTTTGTCGTTAAATGTGCGTAGTAGTCTTGCTTAGAATAATTTGATCCGTTATGATTTTGATCCGTACACCTTTGATTGGGACATTTCATAGAGAATTTGATGGATCAATGGTGTTTCTATTATCACACTATCAGCAGTCGTATTAGCCTAAAATAATTGTGAGGACCCTCTCGGGATATTTCTTAGTTTTATTCTAATATAATTATTTGCTATTCAAAACTCAATAGCTTTAGTTCAAATTCACCTCACACATGGTTTATTAGAGGGTAGTGGTTTCCTTTCAAGAGTTTTTCTATATATTTAGTTAAGAATGAAGAAATCATATCCATCTGTCACGACTCAAAATCCACTAGTCGTGATGACACCTAACCCAACCCGTTAGGTCAGCCAATTAACAGTTAACACAATTTTAATAAAATAAAGGTGATCAACAAATGATATGTCCAGATTCCGTACGATAACCGAATGACTGTTAGTACAAGACATGAGCTACTAAGACTGGATTATTGCAAAAATGGATATGAAATAAATACAACTTCTGTTTGAAATGTACATAAACAGAATTTAACTCTAGAACTACCGAGGGACAAGTGGTAGCCAGCCCCCGTCATCTACCGCTGCGCCGCTCCAAAATCTACACACAAGGTACAGAAGTATAGTATGAGTACAACCGACCCCATGTACTTAATAAGTATCTTGACTAACCTCGGTGAAGTAGTGACGCGGCTTTTTAGTTAAAGGATACTCACTGATATAACCAGTGCAGTAGACTAACAATAGAACAATACTAGAACATAACAGAACATGGTACAAGGAAACAAATGTGTGAAGCAGTAAATGATTACTAGAAGAAATCATGATTAATATTCCTCAATATCACGACCAATCCTTTCCTTAGAGCGATAACCAACAAATCACGGTAGTAAATCCACACTTTCATAGTGTGGGAAAATATACTCAAGACATCAAATCAAATGGCACGGCAACACCCTTCGTGCATTCATCTCATCCTCACCAAATATGCGTATAACAGTACCAACCAGGTTAGGTGGCAGAAATGCCGATAACAGTAATGACAAAGTAAGAAATACACAAGTAACAATAATGAACAAGGCAATACATATGGACAACAGTAATAGACTAGGTTGAAGGCATGGCGACAATGATAGTAATTAGGAAAGAGGAACATAAACTTCACCTAAGTAGCATGGTAGAAGGCCTAGATGTAGATATAACAAATAAGAGGGAAATCATGATCTCTATAAGCTAACAAATAGATGGCATGAATAACTCACATGATAGAAAGCTTATTCGAAAGTGCAACAAATGAGGAACGACATGGATGTAGATATATCAACAAGAAGAAAGGCATGCTATTTGCAAGTTAAACATATAGAAGGCATGTACAACACAACAACAATCGAGATACAGGACAAGGACATAACAATAATGACAAATCACATAGATAACATAGGTGCAACAATAAAAATTCCAGTTAAAGGCATGAATGTATATACTAGGAAAAGATATCACAACATAATGCATGTCCCTCGTCCTCGCCTGCACGAAATACCCTTCGTGCCATGAACACTTGGTAATATAAAAAAATATGATAACATAAATAAAATAGTACGGTATCACTTTTCGTGCTTTTACTTTCATCATCACATGATAATGTAAATAAAATAGAACGACATAACATAAAAAAATATGATAATATATATGAAATAGTACGGCATCACCCTTCGTGATTTTACTTTCA